AGAGACAGAGACAGACAGAGAGAGAGAGAGACAGAGATAGAGAGAGAGAGACAGAGAGAGACAGAGAGAGAGAGAGACAGAGAGAGACCCTTGGGTCATCTACAAGGTCCATAAAGCTTGAGAACTGCCAAGTCAGGCCCATCACTTACCTTTTCCACACAGGTCTGATGCTACAACTCTTTAATCATCTTTGTGGTTTTCTGCAGCGCCTCCCCAAAGCCCCCATACTTCTCATTAAATGTTCCCAGGGCTGGGATGGGAACACTCGCTGGGGACTGACTCATGCAGAGGACAAGGACAAGGTTGCTCTGGGCAGCCTTGTCTGTTTACACAGCACTTCACTGTTTCTTCAGCCAACAGCCCAAGGCAGCCCCGAGCTGCTTCCCTGTCAGCTCCTGACCCACGGTGACATTTAGGAGCTTTCTGCTTTCTGTTCCTCTACTTCTCTGGCACTTACCTGTCATCTAATCTGTTTGTATGTTTTTCTTTTTTTTTTTTTTTTTTTTTTTTTGCGGAACCGGGGATTGAACTCAGGCCCTTGCGCTTGCCAGGAAAGCACTTATTCCACTGAGCCATCTCCCCGGCCCCATGTATGTTTTTCTAAGTAGCTGTAATCTTATGTTTTTAAATTGAGTTTTAATTAGTCTTCTAATTTTGCTACTTGTGCTTTTTTCCTGATGACCTATATTTTGATTCCATTCTCTAACCTGAAGTTTCTGGTGGCTTTTTCCAATCTTGGAGAGATATCTAGAATATTTTTTTTAAAAACTACACTATTGATCCCCCCCCCCCGCAAAAAAAAATATCAAATTGCTTTGGTAATGACTGTCACTGTCAGACTATTTCCTGCTCAGAAGTGGGTTTTGTGACTTTGCCTGGATAACAGGATTGTCCTGGACGACTCAGGAAACCTGTTTGTTGGAAACACTCTCTTCGACTTAAACATTCCTTAGAAAATTTGAAAACACATGTTTAAAATTTGAGGGAGGTAGGGAATACTGATTGTTACAAGTGTATGTTTGGCTACTGTGAAACTCCAAGACCTTTCTTTGGCAGAAAAATTCAACAACAAAAAAGCAAAGACAGCAACCTTTAGCCTATCTTCTGGTAAGAACTATGAAAAGAATTTTCAAGAAAGATGGACTTCGAAATTCTGTAACAGCTTTCGTTCTCTGGTGATCTGATTGCACATTATCAACAAGCAATGAAAAAAAATTTAGAGGAAGGATATAGTGTTGATTTCTGCTTCTTGGTGAACTGAACTGAAAAGAATTAATGGGTGCATTTATCTGAACAGGATTTAATTTGAATGTCCAATTAGCCATAGATTGCAGCTCCAAAAAGTATATGTATTCAAAAGGAAGGCTGTACATTAATTTTTTTAGCTTGGTGGATGTTATGTATACTGCGTAATATATACAATAACATCATTATTACACGCTAGAAGTAAAATGGGTGAAATCAGTAGCCTATTAAGATACATAAATTGATGTAAAACTATGATAGTGAGTTCTGAATAACAGGCCAGATGTTTTCGCAAAGGAATGAATGAGTTTTGATGCATTTCAAGATAACTGAAATTCACACTATTTCTCCCAGGTTGTTGGGGACTGACTATCTTTGTTGTTATAGATAATATGTTTTATTTCATAACGAAATAGAGTCAGGTGGCTTGGTCTTACATAAGGATAAAAATCTGACCCAGAAATTATTATGAAAGCATCATATAAGCAAGATGCTAAGTGATCCTGCCTGTTGCTTTGGTTTTCTTGATCTTTTTGAGACAGGGTCCCACTGTGCAGCTCAGGAGGCCTTGGGCTCACTTTGTAGCCCAGGCTGCTCTCGAATTGACAGCTATCTTCCTGCCTCAGCCTCCCGACTGCTGGAATTATAGGCATGTGTCACCACACCTGGGCCTTTCCTGTTGCTTTTTTGTAAACTTTGAATGATTTAAAACAGCTGATAGCTTAAAACTAGAAATCCAGAAGCGGTTGGGTTCTGTGGCTTTTACGAGTGGCGAGTCCCACAAAAAAAATTTGAAGGTTATGTTGGGACAAATTAGCTTTGAGGCCTGAAATTTTAAAATGTCAGTCACTGTTGCCAGGATTGACTACTGTGCTCGAAAGCTGACTCATTTGGAGGGAGCATCCAGTGCCAGGCAAGAGCATGGTCCAAGCCTAATTTGGGGCTGATTAATTGATTTTATAGTGGGTGCCTCACTTTACCCAGCTTGAGCATTCAGAGTCATGCTTGTTTACTAGGATCTTTAGTTTGTTTCTGTCTCTGTCCTTCCTCATAAAGCTCTCTGGTTTGGAAGAACTGATTTTTCATAAAAATTTAACCTTCAACGTAGAAGTCCTCATCTCTGTGCTGGAACTATAAAGTTACTCCCCCAACGTCTGACCGTTCCTTTTGGATCCCTCTTGTTCAGCCTGTTCCCCATTTTTCTGTGTTTTCCAGGTGAAGCCCTTCCCTGCCCCCTGAACCCTGCTCACGTTCCCCCTGGAAAGTACCTCTGGAGAGCTCCTGGTTCTCCGAACGGAAGGTGCGCTGGTAGACTGGGGCCACACCACAGGTGTTGCCTTGTGCAGGACAATCCCGCCTGCACGATCTGTAGAGAATGCAGAACTCAGGAATGATGTACAGCAGCAGGAAAACCCATGCATTGGTGACCAGGCCAATACAGACGACCGCGTCGTCCCACTGGGGCTGCCGCTGGAGCTGAGGGTTGCCTCTCATGAGCATGGAGATCCACACCACCCAGATGATGATGGAGATGAGCACAGTGACAAAGATGAGCCTTCCGTGCTGCTTCCAGTTCTCACATGGGCCACAGAACGTGGCTTTGGAGATGAAGAATGTGAGGGCCATCAGGAGAAGGACATAGACCAAAAGCATAACAAAGTCTACATTGAGCTGATAGGGTGTCAGGTGCACAAACATCATGCCTCGGGTCATCATGAGGGTCACATACTCAATGGCAATAATTGTCTGGAGCAGACTGACACCAACAGCAATGCACAGGATTGTTGTCCAAGAGAAGGAGACTCCACCTCGGACCAACTTCACCAGGTTGGAAGCATGAGCCAGGAGACACGAGAAGCAGAGAGCAAAGAGAACCCCAAAGAGAAAGTAGCGCACAGGGGCAGTTTGTTCATTGAATGGCATGATGAAGGCAAAAGCAAGTCCAAAGAGCCCCAGCACACCCAGCAGGAAGACAAACTGGGTGGGGAGGACGTTCCACTGACTGCAGTCTTGCACTTTTTGCATCAGGTAGAGGAATGATAAGAGCAGCAGAATTGTCACCACTATGCCAATTCCTGCCAAGGCCTCTAGGACAATGCCCCATGTCCCCTCATTGTCACAGAAGAGATAATAGTCTTTAGTGGATTCCACGCAATCCTCATACATGGTGGCTTATGGTGGACCACACGGGAATGGTCTTCTGGTACACTGTAGAGAAAGGATGAGACAAACTTGACCTTCCATCCATCCACAAAATGATGTAAGAAGCCCTAGGCAGGGCACTATAGTGTCTTTCATTCCAAATGAAGATGCCTGGGCACATGAAGGGAATGGCTTTACCAAATGTCACCAGGACACTGAAAAGACGTAAGTTCCATTTGGTTTGACTCTTGATAAGCTAACTGCTAAGCTTCTGAAAGCAGGGTGAAAATCAGATAAATACATATAGTTTATGGGGATGGGCAATGCTGGTCCATGCACCACCCCTAGACTTTTTTTTTTTATGGAAAATTTTTTATTTTGCAAGAAATGACGTTTTGAGTATTTTCTCTTTCGAGGCAATGCTAGCACAACGCTATGCACTGAGCGGAAAGGAACCTGCTCCAGGAACTTAATTTGGAAAGCAGAAATCTGAGATCCAATTACAAAATAGCACAGAAGAGCACTCAATGGGACAGCCAAGGAAAGTACTGACCCCAACTGTTTAAAAATATTAAATTCAATTTATATGGACATTTTATGCATAAAAATCATATAATCAGAATGGTTAGTAGTCAACTCTAAAAAACAAATATTAACTTTAGATAAAAAGCTAAACATTTTAAACTTTTTTTCAAGTATGGTCAAAACTTCCCTCTTCTGGTTAAAACCCGTATTGGAGACCTTGGTCCCAAACCCACTGCCTGCTAACAAGGAGTGCAGGCACAGCCCATGCTGGGCGACGCTGGGCCTGCTCGCGGAGGCAGGCTGCTTGCGCCACATGCAGGCAGGTGCTGGCCCTGGCGCTGCCCACCACCACCAGCAGGAAGCAGGGACACCCCATCGTCTCACCTGGGGGAGGCGGCTCCCGGCACTAGTATGACACAGAAGCCCCATCCACGCTACTCTGTATTTCAGCAACAACATGCCTCGCTACCAACACACAAATAAAGTTCAGAACAGTGAAAACCAGGACATCTAACTGCCATAGAAAAACAATCCTTTCAAAACCAGGAGACAGAGACAATTGCCCTGCAGTCGCCCTCGTCACTCCACCCACTTCCTGTCACTGCCTGCTCCTGCCTGAGCCGGCCTCCTGCAGGTCCCACAGCTGAGCCGCAAGCATCATCTGGACACGTCTTTAGCCCTCTTGGCCATCAGCCTGGCCGCTACCACTTCCAGTCTGCACCCCCAAGGTGCTGGTGGCTTCCACCAGGGGTGGGGTGGGGGCTGCACACAGTGGGGTCCTCCTCAGCTTTATCACCCGGTGGGGTATGGCTCTCCTGTTTTTGTCCGAACATGGTGGCGCCTGTGCAGGTGGAGGCACCCCTAGACTTATAACTGTTGTATATGGGATGCCAGACAAGGAAACGAGAATGCTAACTTAAGATTTTCCAAGTTATCTGCTAAGAAAGCTCCATACTTCTACTGGGAGAAGCAGAATGGATTTTCTTGGAGCTCCAGAGCTCTTTTTTTTTTTTTTTTTTTTTTTTTTTTTTTGAGACAGAGTCTCATTAAATTACTAAGTTGCCCAGGAAGGGTTTGAAAAGTCATCCATTTCTGTCACAATTCCTAAAGCCTTTTGAAAGCAAATAGAGAATCTGTTTTCATAAGATGGGGTATGTGATGTTTGCATGATTGGTGGGATTCCAGGTATGTCAGCATAGGCTGGCTGCATGAGTGGATCATTGGTTACATTATTCTAAGAATGGATGCACTGCTGGAAGGAGATAGACGGATGACTTTTCCCAGTAATTTTAATTTAATAACTGTTCCTTCTTTCAAGTCAAGTCAGTCCAATGCAACAGCATCTGCCATTTGTTTTTCAAAGAATTCTACTCATGGTTCCTTTCACCAAAAGTTTCATGCCAAAGTTCATATTTTTACTGAGGTGATTTGATATAAAATCTCATATATTTCTTTGGAGAAAACTGAATCACACCCCACCAGACCCCACCAGGCCCCACCAAACCAAACCAAACCAAACCAAACCAAACCAAACCAAACCAAACCAATCATCTGGCTACTGAATACTCTTAAGCCTGCTCCCCTTCAGTTATTCCCAGACTAGATGTCTGGAGCAGCCTGGCTCGAATCTGAGAGCTTGGCCCCTGAATTCCGACTTACCTCCTCTGTGTCTGCTCTGGAAGCTGAGGCTGCAGTGGTGGCGAGGCTTTAACTGCAAATGAGTAAGAAGGAGACAACCTCAGCTTCTTTAATCTTGCCCCAAATGGGCGGAAGAACTGTAGGCCCTCACTCAGGTTCCTGCAGTGCCTATAAAAAGAACCGGAAGGACAGAAAGACACACCTATTCCAGTTTCACAGCAACTTTTCCACATAGATTTCCTTGGAGAGAACCATTATTTTTTTCATTCTTCTACTGACCAGAGGCACAATGGCCTCCTGGAGGTCCTGAAGAGGTGTGAATTTAGGGATATCTGCTTCTTTCTAATACAATTCAGTGTACTCAAGAAACAGCAGGGGCCTGTTTGGCCTCATAGGAGGATGCTTCATCCTTCTGACCTATTTCCTAAAAAAGCTACTTCTGTAGACTTCCCTACATTTTAATTTAATTGTAAAATTCAAAACAGCATCCATTTTACAAATTAACAAGAATTTCACTAGACCATAGGAAGAGTAATTTCATATACATTAGCAAATAGTTGATGGACCAGATGTAGTAGCACACGTAGGCCTGTAATTCCAGCCCTCTGAGAGGCTGAGGCAGGAGAATCACAAGTTCAGCCTAGCCTGGGCAGCTTGATTACTTAGTGAGATTTGTCCTCCCCTCAAAAAAAGATAAAACAAAGATTAGAAACACAGCTCAGTGCAAACAAAGGCCCTGGGTTGTTGAACCCAACACCACCACTACCATCATCATCACTGGCACTACCACCACCATCACCACCACCTCCAACACTCACACACACACACACACACACACACACACACACACACCAAACAAACAAACAAACAAACAAAAAACAAAAAACAACCCAGAGCAAAACAAACAACAACAAAAAAACAAACACCAAAAATAAAAAGCAAAATTGTAAAGAAGGGGAAGTTTCTTTACTCTGCTAATCTCTTTTCTTTACTTTTTAAAAGCCTTCCTCAGGCCTTGGTTATTCATCATAGGTGGAATCTTACCTGGAGCAGCATTTCTGGTAATGCCCATAGCTCAGCTGGAATGTCCAAATACTCTTCACCACCTCTTCTCCATCAGAACAGCCCTAGCTCTGTGTCTTTTGTCACTGAGACATTCCTAAATCGTGGGGTGAAAGCAGTCCATGATTGAAGGTCACCAGTTCATATTGAGATAACACATTCTTTTCTCCTTTGATGACTACAACTCTGACATAGTACCACATCTAACCTACATCATGTATCTGCCCCCTCATATACTCTGTCCTTTTCTTGAATATTTGCCTTCTGACAAAGGGCTTCTGAGGACCTCAGATGAGAGCTTCTTTTGCTCATTTGCAAGGTGCTCTGTGATCCTGCTCTACTTTTTCCATCTAGGCTCAATAGGTTGGCTTTCTCCAGCCTCAAAACGAAATAAGCAGCCATTAGGTCATCTCTGACATGCCCCTCTCTCAAGCTGCGCTGGCTCTATTCCCATATCTGGATCCTATTTCTGATCCCAGCCCTTTCCCTGCCTCTGCACTCTCTAGTTCACCTGATCCCCTGGATTCTTCCTGCCTTCCCATCACCTGGCATTCACTGATTACCTACCACCATCAACTCAGCATGAACTTTGGTCTGTACCATTCAAAATTTCTGCCCATTTTATGTTGTTAATTGATCATTTAAAAAAAGTAATGAATAAGAAACAGAAATAAATAAAGAATAACAAACAAGTTTATCAAGTTGTTTGTATGAATTTCATCTTTTGACAGAGTTATAGCTGCTTAAGGGTCAGCTTCTACCCCTATTTTCTTTTTCTTTCTTTCTTTCTTTCTTTCTTTCTTTCTTTCTTTCTTTCTTTCTTTCTTTGGTACTGGAGATTGAACCCAAGGACATCACACTGAGCTATATCCCTGGACATTTTTATGTTTTATTTTGAGACATAACTAGCTAAGAGACTGGGGTGTAGTGGCACATGCCCAGCTCTTGTGAGGCTGTAAACAGGTGGATCACTACATGTCTAATCTAGTAGTGAGACCCTGAACACCCTGTAGACTGTTCCCTAAACTACAAAACAAAACAAAACAAAACAAACCCCAAGAAAACAAAAACAAACAAAAAAACTAGCTAAATTGTACGGCATGACTTGAATTTATAATCCTCCTGCCTCAGCCTCTTAGAATGCTGGGAATACAAACATGTGTCACCGCTCAAAGCTTGGCTCCATATTTTTTTGCCTGAATAGCCCCTGGAGGGGTGAATGGTTTGTTTGATAAAATAATTCTGATTAAAGTACTTTGCAAAAGGTACTTTCTGGCAGTTTTTTTTTTTTTTTTTTTCCGGAACCGGGGATTGAACTCAGGCCCTTGTACTTGCCAGGGAAGCACTTATTCCACTGAGCCATCTCCTTGCCCCCATTTCCTCATCACCCCCTTTTTAAAACAGATGCCTTTTAATGGAAACCACCTGCAAATATGTCAGGAATTTAACAAACCCTTGACAAATTCATTCTGAAGTGATGTCCTATCTTTAGCGATTCTTTAACTCAGAACCATTTTCTCCTTTGAGAAAAGAAAATTCTAGAGATGAGGCACTTCCTGTATTTGCTTTTGGCATAACTGTTATCTGTCTGAAGCTAGAAAGCTCAAGTTTATGCAAAAGGTAAAGTGATTTTTCAGAGGATGCTATCTAGTCTAGAAAAGTCACTCGTGAGCACTTAAAGCGCTGTCCATAGACCAACAGGGGGATTTTCCATTTAATTTTTCCAAGAGAGCTGTCTTGGTGGCCCCACTCCCTTCTTCCTGCTGTCTTCTTGGCCCATTTTGCTGCTAGGAGACTCC